TTTGGAAGAACCTACGTAAATCCCGAGACATAGGGGTTGCTTGTAAGGGTTTCCCCGTTTTGTTTCAGACAATATTTATGATTAATGAAAGTTATATTTTGTTTTCAATCAATATCCCTCTTCTTTCTCTTGCATTTATATCGTAAATTTAAAAATGGCAATACTTTCTCTGCATATGCATTTTCAAATATTCAAATACTATAGCTGCACCAAAACACGGTAAAGGTGCAAATTCATGTCCAAAGCCACCAATAATGCTATTGCTGCGATTCGATATAATTTTGATGCACTTATCAACCAAGCTGAAGAGGAAGATGATAAAGATCTCGAACTCTTTGAGAAAATGGCGGGGGAAATAAAAAAAAAAGAGGAGCTAACAATACGCAACTGTATCTAGAGGCCATCAAGACCATTAATTTGAGTATAGGGGAAGACCTGGAAGAAACCAAGTTAAGGGGAAATGCAAAGAGCGGAGCCACAAAGAAGTTGATCGAGTTATTGCGCATATCTACGGAAATAAGCCAAAGTCGAATACAGACAGTGTCGTAAAAATAGACAATTGCGAAATACTAAGATATAACGAAGAACCCGAGCCAGGGGCACGTTGGGTATACACGTTCGACGAAGCTTCAAATACATTAGGGCACGATATAGGGGTGGTATTGACTCCCCCAAAGAATGCCCACAAACCATATGCTAATTCAAGGGTGAACAAGATACTAAACATCCAAAAATGATTCCCTATCAAAGTCATGTTTTAAAATCGACTGCGGAATTCATGGAGATGATTTTCAGTCGTGTCTCACGAAAAGGAAATCAAATGACGAACGCCCTGGCAGCTATATCGTCTATATTCAAAGTAACTTGGTCTAACCATGAAACATGCATCACAAACATACGCTTCGAAGGTCCCGCACATTGCCTTGCTATTAAAAATGACAATATAACAAGCCTTGGTTTCACGACATCCAGAAAATGCCTCTAGAATTGGCAAGCAAACCCTACGAGAATCATCCATGAAATTCTTTCCAGGTAACGGTATATTGTACAAGACGAACCACGACATGGTCTAGTACTCAAGAAAATTCTGCTACCTCGCCTCCACTCACGAGGTAAATGGACACCTAATTACGAAGGTCCATACGTAGTCAAAACAATATTCTTCGGTGGTGGTCTTATCTCCACAATAATGGATGGGGAAGACTACCGCACTCGGCCAGTTCGGACGCAGTAAAAAAACGCTATGTACAACAAGCTCGCTAAGCTCGAACCTTAAACAGGCGACTTAGGCAAAAAGGAGCACCCCGGTGGATCGAAAACCTTAAAGGGAGATCCTGGCAAAAATTAGGGGCATATAAACAACAAATTATTATCCTGGTAGAGGTCATTCTGTTGCCTTATCCAGATCCCAATTGCAATACGGATACACTCCAGACACGAAAGTCATTATGCTCCTCATACAGATCTCAACTTCAGATACAGTCCAGATACGCACCAGACACGGTTGCCATTCTGTCACTCATTCGTAATTTATCCCCAGCCCAAAGATGCTCCATACACAGATGTCTCTCTGTCGCCCATTCAGAATTCAAATACAATACAGATACACTCCAAACACGACATTCATTCTGATATTCATACGAGAATCAAATACAGTTACAGCTCGGATACGCTCTAGACACGGACGCCATTCCTTTGCTCATACGAATCCAATCTCCAGATACAACTCAGATACGTTCCAAATACGGATACCAATCCGGTGTTCATTCTCCTGATTTTCAACAAACAAGTTCTGGATGGCATCTCTAAGCCCATCTCCAGCAAGATTCTACCATCTCCAACTGGCATCATTAAGCCCATTCCCTCAACCTACATTTAGACGAGTGCAAATTTACGGGCACTCTAGTGTCCAATCCTCTTTTACATTTGAGTCACGAAAGGCAAACTTGCCAATCTAACTCTTCAGGTTCAAGAAGATTGAACAGGGGAAACTGTTGTACCCCAAAATTTTCCCTCTCATTTTATCAACATTTCTCACCACAAGGCTCCTTGAACTCTAGACCAAGCTAGGTTTTACACTGCTCAAGATATCTCCTTGCATTGTTGACCTAAATTAGGGTTTGAGTTTGCACAGGGATTTTTGGACCTTCAATACTCAAAGTGACTTTCATACTTCATATTGGACTCATAAGTTTGTCCATACCAAGTTTCAAGCCTTGAATCAAATTTTTGCCCAGTCAATTGGACAGTTGACCTAGAAATCAGCTATATTGGAGGAAAAGTCAACTGTGGCCAGTTTACAGTCAAACCTCATGAATTTTGACCCACATCAACATTATCAACTCATATGAACCATTTGATCAAGTTTGGACCACAAATCCATAAGAAATTTGATCAGATCACCAAAAGGGCAAAATGGTCATTTTTAGGGTTTTGACTATACAAAGGCAATTTCTGACTTTTTCACCTAGCCAATGGAAAATTAGGCTCAACCAAGGACTCAAGGACTCAATGGCATCATCTGGACCTATTCAACAAGTTCAAAAGACATCAATTGCATAGGATTGACAGATGAATTTTTCAGTCAACTGATCAAAATTTGACTGTACACTGAAAAGTTAAACTTTGACTTTTTGGTCAAAATCAAGTGCCAAGGGTCATTTTTCATCAATATGTGTCAAAATATGAAACTTGTTCATCAAGAAACCCAAAATTGCAAATTAGGGTTTAAAGTTGAAAATTTTCATAACTTAGAATTTTTCTAAGTTATGAAATTTTCTTAATTTTTCCTAACTTTGCCCCACATTTTAACCATGATGCAATTGGATTCAAACAAAACTTCATACATGAAAGTTGTAGCCCTCCACAAAGTCTACAAATTTTATTCATAAAGTTTTCTCAAAAGAAGCTTGGATATCAAGTAATTATGAATTTTGGAACAAGGGTCCCTAAAACTTTTAACTTAGTGAAATTTTGCCCTAGTTTAGGCAGGATTTTGACCTATCTTCTTGGCCATTTTTCACATAGTTCCACTTGGAATCTCAAGTTGCATTTCAAAGATTGATTATAGAGCATGTTTCAATATTTCCAAAATGTCCAAGAAATCCTCAAACACATTTGTGGTTAGGGATAATCGAAGACTTGAAGTTGGCAAAAACTCACTTTTCATCCATGGCATATTCATGTTCATACAAGTTGCAATTTCAAGTCAGCATGCCTTACACTAGTTTACAGGCCTCTAAACCACTTCACACTCCATAATTAAATTTAAATCCATCATTCTAAGCTTTTGTTTTGGCCATTTGGACATTGTACACAAAATTAAGCCGTAAGTAGAAAAAGGCAAATTTCCATTTTTGCTTAAATCATGTTTTATGTCAAAACTGATTTCTTGAGCATTGGTCCATATCTTATGTAGCTAATCAAATCCACAAGTTGAAGGGACCAAGGGCAATGTGTGCAAGCATAAGGATAGCCTGTACAGGCCTGTTTCAATCAATTCCACATTTTACTTCAAAAACAAGAAATTTGTCAAAAACCTTAGAACTTGAACATCGGCCAAAACAAGCTTATGCAAACAGTTTGAACATCTTTCTCACACCCCTTTGAGCCAGAAACACGATTGCTTGAGCCTCTAAATACCCCAGAGCCAGAAATCACATTCCCTTGGTAAAACAGGGCAGAACCTGCAACTTGAGTTCCATAGCTCATTTGGCTCGTGCATTTTGCCCCAAGTTGCTTCAAACACCTTCCATTCAACACATCCAAGCTATCCCAAAACTCAAACACCAATTGTAACTCCATTTACAAAGTTTTCCATTTTCATTTTGAGCTTGTGCAGGTTGAGTTCTATAGGTTGATCAGGTACATTCAAGGCAAGCAGGCTATTGGAGAAGGTCAAGTGAAGTTCAAGCAAGCTCCCAGACATCTCAAGCCTTGTTGAAAAGCTCTATATTGCCCTACACGAAGTCAACTGAAACAGGTTTTTGTCCACTTCCTATCTCTCTATTTAGGAACATTTAGCCTTAGGTTTATGAATAAGAAATGTAGTATTCATTGCCATGAAGTTGTACATATGCTCAGTTTTCATTTATATTAAGTGTGCTAAGAGAATTTCATCCATGAACATGCTGAAAATACTAGGTCAGGTTTTAGGGCCAGAGAAATTATCTATGGTCTTTGATAGATAAGACAAGTTGTTTATATGGTTGGAATCGTCTTGAAATTCTCTACAAGTTTGATGTTATGTGTTTTTGCAATAGAGCTCGTATACAGGATCTGGTAGTTGTACAAGGCATGCGTGCGTTTTCAAAAGCTAAAGTTTGAAGATGAAGTGGTGGGCTGGGCTTGGCCTGGCTCACTATTGACACCCCCCTTTTCCTTTTTGCACCCCCTGACCCAATTTTTTATTATTTTATATTTTTGCATTTTTATTTTCATTTCTGATTTTTTTTATTTATTTCCAAATATAAAAAATGCTCAAAAATATTTTTATAATTTTTTTCACATTTATTTTGCATTTTATTTTTATTTTTCTAACATAAAAAGCATTTAAATACTTTTATCTTATTTATTAAAACTTGGAAATAATATATAAGTCATACTTTTATTTTTGTTCACATTAAGAATATTTTTCTAAATATACTTTATGTATATATAAGTGTATATATATCTATCTGTATATATATATATATATATATATATATATATATATATATATATATATATATATATATATATATATATATATATATATATATATATATATATATATAGATATATATATATATA